TGAATACACAGATACAAAATGGACATTCATAGTTATACCCCAATTTTTTTTAAGTTCCGTTGTTGAATATTATCATCTGTCTCTATTGTTACCCAAGAACCACACTTCAAAATGTGAGCCCTGTCCACACCATAGGGGCACCCCTGCTGGAGTCAGTGTTCTCTCCCATTGACGTGTGTGTCTGTTCTTGCTCTCCGTCATTCCTTAGCTATTTGATTTGTAGAAGGACTTAATCATTATTTCAATCTTTAGTTACTAAATAAATGTTTGTGGTAAAAAAATGAAGACACACACACACACACACACACACACACACACACAGAGTAATGGAGTAAGGACCCATAGGCCCCAAGGAGAGAGTCCTGCCTCTGCTGCTCCTTACCCCCCTTACGGTGCACAACCCTGTGAGTACTATTGGTCAGTGCCTCTGTAGGTTCCTCTCTGAGCAGATCCACATGCACACATGTTGTGATTCGGCTGCACACTTGCATTTGTAAATGTGAGCATGTTTTACTCACAGCCAGAGTTATGTTTGTCTGTATTTTAATAACTGTGTCTACCTTTTTACACAATGGAGATGTACACAAGAACTCTATGACTTAAGATAGCCTATCCTATCCATCCTTCCCCAATTGCATTTATATGTCTTGCCTCATTATTTCTAAAGATTCCAGATTTTAGAGAATACACACTAAGATTTTTTTAAACTAGTTCCTTATTGTTGGATATTTATATTTTTCTGGGTCTTGACTATTTCCACTAGTACCACAGTGAACCTCCTTTTACATGCCTCTGTGTACACTAGGGAGTATTTTTCTCAGATATGTGGAAGAAAAATTGCTGATTCTGTCTTTTGTCTTAAAGTCATGTTTAATGTCTTCCCCTCCACTGTGCTTTATGATGCCTTGCACATATTAGGCACTTAATAAATATTTACTGAAATGAACTCTTAAGGGTTTTTATTCTAGATTTATCCCTAGCTTACTATTTCATCTCAGTAAACTGTTTTATAGCACCCTTATGCCTATTTCACTTCCCTTGAAATGAATGAATGTTTTAGTTATCTAGTCTTCGTTAGGGGAACTAAAAGGAAATGAGTCAAGAAGTATTTTGATTATCTGCTCTGTGTGGCACTGGAGGGTGTACAGAGGCAAGGGAGATATAGCTCTGACCCTGATGGTGTGTACAGACTATCAGGGTGGCTGGCAGGAGATACATGTCACCAGGAGAGGCACCTGCATTACAGTGGCTTAAAGGGAGTGATGAATAGTGCTTCACTCTGATTCTGTCCTTGTGTCACCCTTCATGAAAGTGTGCAACTAGGTGTGGTAGACATGAATGGGGTGGGAGCTGAGAGCTCACCATGACTCTGAGGAACAGTGTGTGTACCTTCAGAAGAGGTGAGAAGGGAGAACTCAAAGTGGCACTGAGGCCAGGGCATGTGGAGGCATGGTGCGAAGTGCAGCTGCAGAGCTGGGGGCATGCAGTGTGGCAGGCTTGGCACACCAGGCAGTTGGCCATTGCCCTGGGAGGCTGGATACCATGGGAGTTTTTTTTTTTTTAAATTTCATTAGATAAAAATTTATTGAGCACCCACTATGTGCAAGGCATTCACTAGGTGCTATGATACAGAAGTATGACAAAGTGTTTATATATGTAGACTCAGAGCTAAACCCTGACAATTTTCCTGATATGAGAAAGAATGCCCTCAATGGCCCATTTACAGACCTAAGAGCCTAGAGAAGGTCTGCCCTTGTCCTACCAGTCC